TCTGTAAACCGCTTAGAGAGGGCTGAAAGCCCTATGAAGTGGTATATAAGTCTACTGCTATTGCTATTGCTATTCTTCCACCCAGCTGGAAATTTCCATCCACCCAGGTTCCTCTGCGGGATTTTAAGCTGGATCTCCCCTTACACTAATCTTCCCCCAGCGGCTGTTAGCCCAAAGCAACTCCAGCTCCTTCTAGCCCAGAAGAGCATGAAACCCCCAACTATTCATGCAAAAGCCCAGGATTTCTGTAGAATTGATGCTTCCACAAAACAAAACCCAGACCTGTCTCCGTGCGTAGTCTGAAATTCAGGTCGTTGGACTATTTGCAGTTCCAAATGTTCAGCATTTGATTCTGGGGAAAAGCTGTTGCTCACCAACCGTTGTGCATCCCTTCGGCTGTGTGTGTGAAAGCTGGCATCCTCCTGGCAGGCCAGGCAGCCTGGGCTGGGGGGGCTCCAGAGGCCTTCTAGCTCCTTCACCAAGAGCTTTTCTGGGGCTGCTCAAGGCTCCGAATAGGGACGGGCGGAGGGAAGGTGGGGGTGGGCCCTCCAAAGCACTCGCGGTCTTTCTTGGCAGATGGGCGAGGAGTACGGGCCGGTGTTCACCGTCTTCCTGGGACTGCAGCGGGTTGTGGTCTTGTGTGGCTACCGAGCCGTGAAGGAGGCCCTGGTGGACCAGGCGGAGGAGTTCGGTGGGCGAGGGCAGCTGCCCGCCTTCTCCAAGGACTTCAACCACCATGGTGAGGGACGGTCCTGCTACAAGAGGGGCCTGGACCGGCCTTGCTGGGGCTGCCTTGCACTGAGAGAAACCTCTCGTCCTCCTCCTGGTCTCTCGGGCAGGGATCGTGTTTGCCAACGGGCCACGCTGGCAGCAGCTCCGTCGCTTCTCCCTCACCGTCTTGAGGACCCTTGGGATGGGCAAGAGGTCCACTGAAGAGCGGATCCAGGAGGAGGCCCAGTGCCTGGTGGAGGAGCTCCGGAAGACAGAAGGTAGCCCCTCCCTCCCTCCCTCCCTCCCTCGCCTCGGTTTACCTGAGCCTCCCTCAAGGGAAGTTAGAACAGTGTTTTTCAACCTTGGCAACTTGAAGATGTCTGGACTCCAACTCCCAGAATTCCCCAGCCAGCGAATGCTGGCTGGGGAATTCTGGGAGTTGGAGTCCAGACATCTT